GCTAGCTCAAAAAACCGGCACACCAATCCCCCTTCCCCCCTCTATCCTCTCTTGGAGCTCCAGAGTCCACACCCCCCTGCCCCGGGATCGCGTACAAGCTATGGCTACCGTAGGCCACACTAGCGTCGCTGGGGGTTCCCTGCCCTAGATGGGAAGCTGGCCGCTGATCCGAAGACCGACTGCACCAGGGCGCCTAGATATACTCGAGGTGAGCGAGGGTGAAGTTACGCCTTAAATGCCGGCCTCTCTACTGTGGACCTTACTCCGAGCTCGTTGGCTCCTCCTATTCCCCCACCCCCCCTCCCCCCCCACTCTCTCCGAGCAAGGGCGTGCGCTACGTCCCCAAGGGGGGGGGGACGTGGGGGGGAGGTGTGGCGCTTAGGTTGTGGCGTTTGGGTTGTTGTGGGGCACCCAAACGGTTTCGGTTTTCCTCCTTGGTGCCCCGAGTAGAGCGCGATCTCCCCTGGAGTCTGTCGCGCCCGTTCTGTCTAAGCTCGAGGTTCAACCTTCCAGTTGATCCTTATCGGACTGGTGAGGTCTGCCTAGCCGTCGTAGTGTAGTGCCTGGGGTGCGTCTGCGTCGGTGCTACACACACTCGGCAGGACGCTGCTCTAGGTCGTTGCTGCTGGTCGTCGCTGTTTGTTAAAGGTGATAAATCGTTTCTTTTTTTTTTCAACAAGAAATCACGACTCTCACAGTGACCTTTTTGTGTGGCCAAAAACATGTCCGAGACAAACTCGAACCCGGGCCTTTAGACAGAATGTTGGTCCCCGAACCACTAGACCATGAGCCTTGTGAGGCAAGGGTTCGGTACTATGTTGGTAGGGGAGGGGTTAGGCTGTTTGTGAGTACCCCAGGTGGGTTAGAGGGGGGGGGGAGAGCTCCTGCTTGCTCGCGCCGGGGACGGCGCAGACCTCGACGTAGAATGTCTTGGAGTGGGAGCACTCTGCACAGCCACAGGCATGATGAGGTGAAGCAATCTTGGCCGAGCCGCCCGGGAGCGCGCGCGGCGAGCCAGCGCGCCTCGCCTGGTGGAACGGAGCTGTCGAGGGGTGCAGTCAGCCGCGCAGTGGGCGGGCGGCGTGAGCGTGCGTGTGTGCTGAGTGTCCAGCAGGTCTGCTGCATTGCTTGCTGGCAGGCTGTGCAGATCTGATCGGATGTCGGGGCGCGTGCGCGGCGGCCGCCGCGCGCGGCGTGCCGCCGCGCGCGCCTCGCGCGCTGGAGCTGCGTCGTGCCGGGCGCGGCGCGCTCTGGTAGAGCATGGTGCCTGAAACAGTGTGCAGGCGCCTGGCAAAGGGCGTGGACTGTCAGTGGGGTTCACTGCGGCGCGCGCGTCGCGGCGTGAGTGGTCGTGCGGCTAGCTCTGATGGTGCGAGAGGCGCGTGGCTGGTGCGGGCGGCTGGCGCAGCCATGGGGTGCCAGCACAGGGCAGACGCACATGCCACAGGCTTCTGGGCGCTAGGCGTGTGTTTGCGTGCGCGCGGGGACGTACGCGCAGTTTTCACGCGGTGTGCGTGGAGAAGGGCATGAGGGGCGCCGGCCGCGCGTGTATTGGCGTGTGGGAGTTCGGAGTATGCCCGGAGGGCGTGCCCGTAGGCGACTAGACTTCGCACTGGCGCCGGAGGCCCCAGATATGAAGAAAAGTCTTGTTAAAACTCCTTCCTCTTCTCTTATTCTAGAGGGTGTGGATGCTGAGTTGTGTCAGTTGACCGACGAGATGCGCCGCGACATGCACTAACTGGCACTATGCGACATGGGGGACGATGACGATGACTCGAGGTTTCTCGGACGCATAGACGCCGTCGGTTGGCGTTGGCCGTTGGCCCCGTTGGGCGGGGGGTGTGCGAGTCTGCGACCGCGACTCTGGCGCGCTCTCGAGGCCGCAAGACTCCGCGCGGCATCGCCTTTGTGCTACTGAGTATGCGCGGGCTCGGCGCTGGCTGTATCCCCTAGTTGCGGCGGAAAAACTCGGACCCACGTAGACAAGGAGGCGCGCCAATGGCCGCCTCCGTGACACTCCCACCTCCTGGGCCGGCGCGGGAGTTTTACTGCCGAGTTTCTCCCGGCCGGCCGCCTCCTGACACGCCCACTGACCGAGCCCATCGAAAAAATTCGGCGCGCCGCACTGCTCTGACCCCTGCTCGCCCCTGCTCGCCCCTGCTCGCCACTGTCGCCTCGGTTGCCGAGGCTGCCGCGCACCCGCAAGCCCGCGTCGCTGCGCGACTACGAACTGCACCAGCTGGGCTCGAACCAACGACCAAAACGTCCCCGACCCGAACGCTGCACCAACTAGGCCACGCCGCAGGCTCGATTTGCAATACGCACAAAACTGGCCGCTCATAAACCACTACTCATTTGCCGAGGACACGCGGCGCCCCTCCACAGCCAGCCTACCCTCCTATCGCGCCACTCGAAGCCCCGCGGCCGCCTCTCGCCTACCGCGCTGCCCTCGCCTGCCACCGCACCGCCCGCGCTCCAGCCTAACCAGCTCTGCATCTCGCAACACACACTTGACAGGGACAGACCAGGCGCAGGAAAAGGGAGCGGGGCCCGAATCCAAGGGACCACCCCGTCGGGCGGAGGAGCTGTGAACTCAGGTCCAGCAGGAAGGCTGCTGGCTCCTGACTCATCCCCCAAATCCCCCACACCTTGGCGGCCTGAAACCTTACCATTCCGACACCTCACACACACCCCTCCCCTAGGGCTAAGCAGTGCGCGAGCCCACCCGACTTCAGGCGAGACGTTGACCACTCCTTTGGAACAGTTCTGTCAGTGGCTGCACTAGACGCCCACAGAGGCGCGCGGCGCGGGCAGATGACTAGGGGAGAAAAAGCGGAGAACCTAGCTCGCTGGGAGATGTGCGCAAAAAGACGGGAATAGGGGAGAAGTGTCAGTGTGAGGGGAGGGCGTAGGCTGGCGTTTTTGCCTTTGAAAACTGAACAGTTTTTTTTCCCCTAGTTGCGGCGAACAAACACAAAAGAAATTTCGCGATTGATGCCGCTTGGGCTGGCTTGTGGCTACAACAAGACTTCCCCCCGCCCACTGGGAGCCGGCGGTTGGGCGGCTGCGCGTCGGCGCCGGCGTCTGCACCCTTGGTGGGTGTTGCAACTGCCAGCGCTCTGGCTCGCTGCCCGGACGCCGGTCCCCAGTGTAGCAGGCCCTCACAACAGACAGGTGCGCTCTAGTCGAACAGGTCGAAGCCCATCTCCTCCTCCTCCTCCTCGGGCTCGGGCGCCTTCTCCGGCGCCGCAGCCTCAGCCGCGGGGGCAGCAGCAGCGCCGCCGCCGCCGCCGCCGCCGCCGCCGCCGCCGCCGCCAGCCGGAGCGCTGCCAACCGCAGAGAGCATGTCCCCAACATTCTTGCCCTTGCAGAGCTTGGCGAAGAGCGTGGGCCAATACGGCTCAACCTCGATTTTGGCCGCCTTGAGGATGAGGGCGATGTTGTCGCCTGTGGCGGGGGCGGCGGGGCCAGGTCGGTGCAGGGACGGCGGGGAGGGGCGGCGCAAGGTGCGCGCAGAGCGGCGCAGAGCGAGGTATTGGCGCGCTGCGTGCGGAAGGGTTGCGGTGCGCACTTGAGATCTCCAGCCCGTCGTCGTGAAGGATCAGCGCCGCATACACGCACGCAAGCTCGTTCGAGTTGCCGCCAATCGCCATGTGTCCTGCGCACGGGAGAGCGGGGAGGGTTTGGTCGCCGCACTCCGGATCGCTCGCGCGTCGCCTCGGCCCCCTCTGGCTCCCTATGGCGGAGCCGGGGGTGCGCGCGGGGGCAAGTTCGAAGTTGCTCACTGCGGCGCGCGGGGGGGCGAGAGAGCACCTCTCGTCCGCTGGGTGGGTGTGCTGCGGAGTCTGTGAGGCCACGGAAAGCAAGAAAAGAATTCCGTCCGGGTCCGAACGCCGGTCCCTAAGAAGATCTCGAACGGCGCTTCACTTGAATGGCGTTCGCTTCGGCCGGCCTGCCGCCGCCGGCGCTCAACGCTGCCGCTGCCGAGGGCGCGGCGCGCGGCCGCGACGGCGCGCAACCGACCAACGATGGTCAGACGACCGGCGTCAAGCGCCGCCTCAACAACGAGCTCGAGAGCGCGCGCATGGACGTCGACGACGCCAAAGAGGGAGACACCAGACTCGTGGACGCCACACAGATGGCCGCTGAGGCGGCCGCCGGCGCCGACCGCGGCACGAAGCGCCTGCTGCACGTCGCGCTCGCGGCGCGCGACGGCTCGCACGTCCCGGACATCCAGAACAAGACGGCGCTCGTCACCGAGGTGCGCCAATTGATCAAGAAGACACCAGGCGGCGAGGCGCAACAGGCGAGCGCGATCAGCGTGCCCGTCATCGGCACGTCGCGCGCCATCTGCGTCGCCTTCAACGGCGAGAGCGAGGCACGCGCCTTCCTCGAGCAGTACGCCGGCGGTGGCGTCCTACAGCTCCCAGCTCCGGACAACATCACCATCACCTTCGCCGCTCTCGACGCCGCCGTGTGGGGCAAGCAGGCGGAGGCGCGCGAGACCCAGGCGACCACGGACTCAGACGGCCTCCTCGCCATACGCACGCGCGGCGCCATCAACACCGCGGCCCAGATCGAGCACTTCGCCCCCCTCTTTGAGAAGCACTTCGGCAACGTGGTCTCCATCCAGGAGGGATACCACTCCTTCCTGGGCACGAAGTCGGACGAGAAGGACGGCTCGATCCTCTTCAAGGTGAAGAACGAGAACCTCGTCTGCAACCTCCCGGTCCTGCCCAACGTCTACGCGAGCGGCGATGTCGGTGGACCTCTCCGCCTCGACGTCGGGTGCGTCAAGGTCCTCGGCAACAAACTCTGCCCCTCCTGCCGCGCATTTGGGTTGACCAACGCCGACATCATCCACGACGCGCAGTGCGGCGCGCAGGCACTAAAGGAGCGGCGCGCCGCAGCGGCGAACGTCGCCAAGAAGAAGACCTTCGAGAGCCTCATCGTCGACAACAAGGTCGAGGTCGCGCGCGCGGCGGGCAAGGCCAAGGCGATGGCGGCGCGCGACGGGATCGGCTTCTGCCCGGCCTTCAACCAGACCGCCCTCCCGTGCAAGACCGCCGCTCGCTGCCGCTACGCGCCGTGCGTCAACTTCGAGGCGCTCCTCCACTCCGCCTTCAAGGACACCATCTACGAGCGCATGCCGAGCGCGGTCAGGCTGGGCACAAGCCGCGGGCGGCGCGGGCGCGGCGGCCGCGGCCGCGGCGGCGGCGGCGGCGAGGTCAAGAGCAACAAGAAGGACTGGGCGAGAGTCGCCCGCGGAGCCGCACGCTCCCCCTACGACGGCGGTCCACGCCTCGAGTCCAACGAGGCCTCGCTCTATGATGGGAGCGACGAGGAGCTCTAGGAGCGGCCGCCGAGCCCTTCCCGCAGCGCATCCCTAGCAGCGCAGCGGGCAGGGCGGCTCGCGCAGCGCGCGCGACACACACACACACACACACACACACACACACACACACACACACACACACACACACACACACACACACACACACACACACACACACATGTACATGTACATGTTGTACACATGCACAGACACACAGTCCCTTCCCCTTCCTCAAGGGCGAGGACACGCGCAGGGGCCGCACTTCTAGCGAGGCCCACAGAGTGGGAGACTCCTATCACCGCCACTGCCACCCACGTGTCAGTCTGCCTGTGGTAGAGAGTGACTGCCGGTGAGAAGTCGGAGGAAGGTCGCTAGTCGAGAGAGATCGCCAGTGGATAGGGAGTCCACCGGGCTGCGAGCCTGTCGCTGTCCCTTGTCAGGAGCAGGAGAACTAGGAGAGCGCAACCAGTAGGAGGCCCGCGCTTGCCCCCGTGCCGCCGGGTGCAACCTGTCCTATACGAGAGAGGAATCCCTGGGACCCTGTCGTGTGGGTGAACCCTGCCCAGCCCCCCTCCGTGCCGCGATGCGCTCCCCGCTCCCGTTCCCCTGGTCCTGATCGTCCTTACAAGATCCTGCTCGTGCAGGTGGGGACCCTGTCCTTCTCCCACCCCTCGTCTGGCGTGTCCGTTGTATTTATTTATTTATTAAGAAGATCTCGACGATGTCACGGCTGACTCACGCCCGGCTCCCCTCTCCCGCCACCCTCGATCAGCTCTGCCTCTGGGGAGCTCCCCTACACACCTGCCTCGGCATATGCCGCTATTTAGATTTTAGTGTTCGAGAACTACTCGAGTCTCGTCAGGTGCTACGACTCGTCTCTCGAGACGCAGGAGTGAGGACAAGTGTCATTCACTTGCTCTGACGATGGAACAAGACGACTGCTGTACGTGTATGTCTCGCACTCTCGCTTGCGGCCACGTTCCTCCCTAGAAGGAGCTCCGACAATGTCTTCAATGTCACGGCTCACGCCCTCCCCCCTCCCGCCACCCTCGCCTCCCTCATGCTCTGGAGCTCCCTACACACCTGCCTGTGCCCGCCCGCGGTCCAGTTCTCTGCCTGGCACGCCGCGCTGCAGTAGAGCATCACCTTGCACGCGCTGCACCGCTTGAGCTTGCGCCGGGGGAGCAGCTTGCCGCACTCCGCGTGGTGGCACGCGCCCAGTAGCACCAGCTGCTGCGGCCCGTGTGCGGTCCCCAGGTTGCCTGCAGGCGCCGCGCCGCGCTCTCCCGCGCCACGCCCTTCCTCGCCCGCGGCGCCGCGCAGCAAGGCCGAAGCCTCGCCGCTCGCGGCGAGCGCCTCCACCACCGCCGCCATCACGTCGGCGACGAGGGGCGCATCCTCTGCTCGCCCCGCCTCCGCAGCAGGCTCCGGCTCGGGCTGGAAAAAGGCGGGCAGCGAGTGCGTCGGCGCAGGTGGCTCCGCCGGCGCCGGCCGAGCTGCGGCGCGCTCCTCCGTGGCCGGCTGTGGGTGTGGGAGGCGCAGCGTCTCGCGCAGCAGAGACGCCGGCCACTGGACGCGCTGCGAGGAGGCGTCGATGCACGCGACGTCCGTCCCGCACCCCTGAAGAAGCCCAAACATGTAGTCGGCGAGCGCACGGTCGCTCGACGTGAGGCTGGCCGGCTTGGACGCCGGCTCCCGCCGCAAGTATGCACAGATGACGCCCCAAAACGCCTCCTCGTACGCCTCAAAGGCCGATGAGCTGTGTATGGCTCGCAAACACAGCACCTCCCCGGTGGCGGGCTCCACGGCCACCGCCAGTGCTGCCTCGCCGGACGGGCGGCCGTAGAGATCGACGTGGACCGCTGTCCCGACGACCTCGCCCGGGCGGCTGCCGTCGCGCGTAGCGCGGGCGGGGAGCCTGAGGAAGCGTGAGCCGAGCTCGTACCACGGGTCTGGGGATGCAACTGCAGCCATGTAACGCGGTGGAGACTTCGGCGCCGTGGGGCAGGATCCGCGATTTCTTTCCCCGGAAAATAGAATCATTGGGCGGCGCCCCATGGGTGGCGCCGGAGTTTGTTACACGGACGCGTTGTTAGGAGGTAACGCGACCGCAGGCGCCTCTCCCGTGACCCATGACCTCGCTACATCAGCGCCGGTCCAGCCTCGCGCTGACCACGTTGCACATTGGCGGGGCCGGCTCGGGCAGCGGATCGCCCGTCGACCCGCTCAACGACAAGCTCACCGAGTCTGGACGGTGAGCACCACCGCCCTTCCCGCTGCGATGCTCTTCCATTTGCACGCTCCTGACGGATCGCGTTCTGCTGCATGACTCTGGTAGGTACTTTATCGGCGATTTCGTCATTGCGCGCGACGGCATCGTCGCGGAGCGTAGGCACGATGAGGCTGCGGGACAGAGGGAAGAAGCTAGTGAGCCCTCCGAGGAATCAGCTGGCGAGCAAGCTCCGCGGTTGTCAAGTGCGTGTGCGTCGGGCGGGCGCGGCGGCGAGCCACTCGACTGGTCGGCGCTGCAGATTGGGCCTCTGCTTGGGCGCGGTGCATCGGGCTACGTCCGCCGCGCGCGCCTCTGCGACAAGCTGCTTGCCGTCAAGCGGATTGCGATTTCTGACGACGAGCGGCGGCGCCAGACCTTCAACGAGATCTCGACGCTCGTCGGGTGCACCGACCTCAGCGCCGCGAACCTCATCACGTGCTACGGCGTGCGTTGCATCGAGGGTAACATCGAGATCGCAATGGAGTACATGGACCTCGGCTCGCTCGGCGACCTGCTGCGCAGACACGGGCCACTGCCGGAGGAGGCCCTCGGGTCGCTGCTGGACCAGACCCTCGCCGCCCTGCACCACCTGCACAAGGAGAAGCATGCGGTGCACCGGGACCTCAAGCCCCAGAACCTGCTACTCTCCTCGAGCGGCAAGTGCAAGCTCTCCGATTTTGGCTGCGTCGCGGAGCTGCAAGACTCGTTTGGCAAGTGCGGCACCTTTGTGGGTACCGTCCCGTACATGAGCCCCGAGCGGATCCACGGCGGCGAGTACTCGTACGCCTCGGACATCTGGTCGCTCGGGCTGACGATCGTCGAGGCGGCGCTGGGCCACTTCCCGTACGCGCGCTGCAACGGCTACTGGGGAATCCTGCAGGCGGTGCTGCACGAGTCGTCACCCACGTTGCCGGCCGACCGCTTTTCGCCAGAGATCGTCGATTTGGCGGCGCAATGCCTGCAAAAGGCGGCGGTTGACCGGCCAACGGCGCGTGAGCTGCAGGCCCACCCTTTTCTGGAACGCTGCCGGGCATCGTCCTTCTCCACGTGCGAGTTTTTGCGAGTTTTTGCGCCGCACGACCAGCGCCGCGCCTCGGGCGACGCGTCGCTCTTCGCGATGTCCGATGAGGACGAGTACGAGATGGAGGGAGAGGAGGAGGAGGAGGAGGAGGAGGTGCTGCTGCCCGACTCGCGCTTCTCTCGGGCATCGGGCGATGGCGACGTCGGCGGTGGGGCTGCGCCGACAGTGAGGCATTGGGGGCGGCGAACGGAGGCGAGGGCAACGGCCAAGGAAGCCGCAAGGTCAAGTGGAGGGGAAGATCCGCCGCACGGACCGCAGCTCAGAGCCCTTCAGGCGCAGCTCGAGGACTCGAGGCGGGAGTCGGCGATATTGAGGCAGGAGCTGCAAGCCGCGCAATATTCGGGGCGGCTACTGCAGCAGCAGTGCGACGACGCCGAGGCCATCGTGTCACGCCTAAAGGCAAGCCGGGAGGACAGACGCGCGGCCGCAGGGGGCAGTGCCGCGTCGACGCCGAGCCCGCCCACTCCCGCTTCGGCCAGCCGGCCCGGAAGCGGCAGGCGGTTGCTGCTCGAGCCGCTTGCTGTCGGGCGCGAGGCCGCCACCGCTACGTCGCACGAGTGCAACCGGGTAGCGGGGGGCTATAAAAACGGACACCTCTCTACTGTGAGATGGGTAAAAAGGAACAGGCCCCCGCCCTTGCGATCTTTGTGCAGGGTTCTTTGTGGGTGTGGTCGGAGACTAGCCGGGGTCGTCCTCCCGATGGGGGACTAGCACTATAGCCGTCTTCCACATGGTCCCTCGGGTCCCTGCTGCTCCTAATCTCTTCGTACATCCTCCTGCTGATCTCCGCAAAGTCCTGCTCCCTCCCTCGTCTCGCCCTGCGCGTCTGCTGCGTCTCGAGAGAGAACACTAATAAATTACAAAATATTTAGTAATTAGGGACTAAAAAGCGGCATGGGCCGAGCGGAGGGAGCAGCGAGCCGAGCGGGGCCCGCGAGCGAATGACAGTTGACACTTTTCCTTGCGTGCCGTCTCGAACACTAAATAGCGGCATGCCGCGAGGCAGGTGTGTAGGGGAGCTCCAGAGGCAGAGCTGATCGAGGGTGGCGGGAGAGGGGAGCCGGGCGTGAGTCAGCCGTGACATCGTCGAGATCTTCTTAGGGACCGGCGTTCGGACCCAGACGGAATTCTTTTCTTGCTTTCCGTGGCCTCACAGACTCCGCAGCACACCCACCCAGCGGACGAGAGGTGCTCTCTCGCCCCCCCGCGCGCCGCAGTGAGCAACTTCGAACTTGCCCCCGCGCGCACCCCCGGCTCCGCCATAGGGAGCCAGCGAGGGCTACAATAGTGCCAGTTTGACGGAGACGCGAGTCGGCGGCCCCGCGCGACCGTCATCTGGGTCCCGTCGCTCCCCCGACTGTTCCCCCGAAGCCCGACACTTTCTTTCTCATTAGTCAGTCACTTTCCTACGCGCCGCGTGTAGAAAGTGACCGCACACCACAAACGCACACCACAAACGCATGCATACCTATCTACGCCCTGTCCGACAGGTCGAAGCACCACACCACGTCGACCCCCCGCGCGGAGGAGGCCGCGATCGTCTCGTCGTCTGGATACCACGGAATCGCGGGGTGCTGCGCTTGCGCGTGCGAGCTGAGTGCGGGCAGGTGGAGCAATCGCAACGCCGGGAGGGTGGCGCGGTCCCAGAGGGCGGCGCTGAGCGCCCGGAGGCCAAGTCTTGTGATGGGGAGGTTGGAGTGAAGAAAGAGGCGCCGCAGCTTCCTGAGGCCGCCGCCGCCGCCCATGCTGCTCCTCACGAGCGCCGCGACGCCAGCATCGCCAACCCTGTTGGACGCCAGCGAGAGGGCCTCGCATTGCGGCAGCGCCCCGAAAGAGAGCGTGTCTGACAGCGCCGCAATACCGCGGCTAGTGATGCGGTTGTGTGCGAGGTGCAGCTCCTTGAGCGAGGCCAGCGTAGGGGAGTCGGTTTCGAGCAGCACCGCTGCAAGGGCGCCACAGAACTCGTCGCCCAGCAGATTGCCGTCGAGGACGAGGAATTGAAGCCGCGGCGCTGCGGCGTGATCGAGAGCCGAGAGGAGCGGCCGCAAGGGACGGAGCCCGAGGCTCTTGTGCGCGAGGTCGAGGCGGAGCAAACCTCGCAGCAACGGCATGAGCTCGCCCAGCGTGACGGCGTGGCCGGCCGCGAAGCCTGATGCCGGGCACAGCACGGTGGCGGACTCGACCTGCTCCCTGGTCATGCCCAGCGATGTCGCCATCTCGCCTGATTTCGTCCACGCTGCCCGCATTTCCTCAAGCGCCGGCCGGAGGAGCTCGCGAAGAGCGTGGGACACGCCGGCGACAGCCGCTGCTGCCACTGGTGGTCGGCACAGCGGGTCGCACGACACAGAGAGGGCGCCTGCGATGAGGATCTGAACGTCTTGCGGGAAGAGGTCCTCCCACGTGCGGCTGGGTGCCATAAGGTGGGACTGAGCGAAGATCAGAGAGCGTGGTTCCAACAGGGTTCCATGTGGGTGTGGTGGCCCGTAAAAGAATTCTTCGAGGCCCGCATACTGGCACAACAAGGGCGCGGACTGGCGCGGACTCCCGCAAAAGAATTTCCGGCGGATAAGCAAAAAAAGAACCGGGGGCGCGCATAACTCTGGGCACGGTGCTGGCACACACTACGCTCTCTTTCTTAAACTTCAAGTTATGGTAAGGTCTAAGGAAGGGCCTTGGTTGGAGCGATGTTCCCGCGATGTCTACGAACGTACTTTCTTTTAGCTTAAATCTTAATGGGAGAAAAAGGGAGAGGGGAGAGAGAGATAGGTTGAGAGGGGTGTGTATTCTCTAGGGCCTCTACTAGTCTAGGCCCCAGAGGCCCTACGCGCTACCGGCGTGAGAGCTCGGCGTTCGGAAGCGAGCTACTCGAGTATGCACGGCGATCGAGGATGGCGCGGTTCACCCCCTCTTCACCGAAGCGATGGTAGATGCGTTCCGCGTGGTGTGACACCGTCACCGAAAACGAGAGGCGGGAGTGGGGAGAGTAGGCGGTGCGGTCAACGGTCAACGCCCGAGCGCTGAGCCTTGCGTGCGAGAAGCCGCCGCCGAATGTCTCTCTCTCTTCTGTGTGTACTGCCCAGCACCCGTCTCGGATAGAGATATTTTTGTCCGCGGTTGTTTATCGTTGGTTTGAGAGAGTGTTGTTTGCCGCAGCCCTAGGGTGTGTGTGTGTGTGTGTGTGTGTGTGTGTGTGTGTGTGTGTGTGTGTGTGTGTGTGTGTGTGTGTGTGTGTGTGTGTGTGTGTGTGTGTGTGTGTGTGTGTGTGTGTGTGTGTGTGTGAGTTTTGTTCCCTCTCCGCCGCCCCACGCCAGCCCGCTCGTGCGCTCGTCGTGGGCTCGTCGCCTCCCTATTCTCCGCAAGCGAAGTCGAGGGGACTCTATCCTTCTCCTCCCATCCCTACCTAATTTGGCCTGCGGGCATCGACCCCCTGAGGGGCCAATCAGAATCGTGCTTTTGGGGTGGGTGGGGCGGTCCAGCTTTCTATTCGAAAATGTGTTAGTGCCAGTGCGCGCCAGTTCCGTGCCCAGTGTTGTGCGGGTTGTGCGAGGGAGATTTGTTGTAAACTTCTTCAAAGAAAGAAAGAAAACAGACAACCCAAGGGAGGGATGGGAGGACGGCACGCCGCGACCACACACAACATTTCAAAAATTCTGTTTTTGTTTTGCCCCTATGCAATAGGTAGGTAGGTCCGCTTTTGACCGCCCCAGAGGGCCCCGCTATAGGTAGGTAGGTGGTGGTGGTGGGGTGGGGGTGGGGGTGTTGGGGGGGAGGGGTTTAAAAAACCGCTTCGCTCGCGCGGGAGACGGCTAGCCGCGAACGGGCCATGCCAGACGAGTCGCCTGCGGCTGGGACGCCAGCCGAGACGAGTGCGGCGGCGGCGCCCGCGGAGCCTATTCACAGAAGGGCTAAACGGGTATTTTTCGCTTCGCTGCGCGGCCCCGCAATAGGTAGGTAGGTGGGGCACTGAGCCTGCTGGCGGTTGGCGCCCGCAATAGGTAGGTGGCGCGACTCAGTGTGGACAGACCCACTGTCTCTCTGCGATTTCGGGCCCGGGGTTGTGCGTTTATGTGCACAGACCCCCTATCTGGGTAGGAGCCGAACCCTGCCGGTGTGGCTCGCGAAAAGTCCGAACCCGCGAGGATGTACTCAACGTCATGCGCGCCATTGAGGCCATCACCATCATCTCGGCGAGCCACCCACGCCGGCTCCTGGTACTCATCGCGGCGTGACCAGCTGGCAGCACAGATGTCAGGCTGGCTCGAGCAGGCGAACGCCTGCACCGGTGCCGCACGCGCCGTCATTGCGCCGCATGCCGGCTTCTCTTACTCGGGGCCGACGGCGGCGTGGGCGTACAAGCACGTGTCGCCGACCGGTATCAGGCGCGTCTTTGTGCTGGGTCCGTCACACCACCACTCCATGTCGCGCTGTGCCGTGTCTTCGTGCGCCACTTACGAGACTCCGTTCGGCGGCATCCCCGTTGACCGCGCCACGAGCGCCGCACTGCTCGAGACGGGCGCCTTTGATGTGATGGACCTCAGCGTGGAAGAGGCGGAGCACTCGATTGAGATGCATCTACCTTACATTCTCCACGTGATGGGCGCGACTAGCTTCGAACTGGCGCACCGCACTAATCGGGGTGCGGGAGCTGGCCGTAGTGGGCTGCTGTCACCGCTGTGGCGCCCTCTCATAGGTGCCTATACTCGTCGGCGCTCTTGACGAGGCGTGTGCGCGATGAATGGCAGTCTCGAGCCTCGAGCGCCTCTGGATTTCCTCCGCTCGGCACGCTAGGCGGCCGAGGCCAGGTACGGAGCGCTCCTCGCGCCACACTTGCTCTGCGCCGAGAATTTGTGGGTGCGCCTAGCCTTCCCCCTTTGGCAAAACCTCCACGCTCCGGCCCTCCAGTGTGGCCGGGATCCCGGTCGCCCCGCATGCCTCAGGTCGTCTCCTCGGACTTTTGCCACTGGGGGCGCCGCTTCCGCTACACGCGGTACGACGCAGCAGAGGGTGCCGCATAGCCGGCGCACGGGAGGCGGCGGCCACCGCGCACGCGACGCGGCCAGTGGCATGTGAACAGGTGCTATCTGCCAGTCCATCGAGGCACTCGATCGGCGCGCGATGGGACTGATTGAGGCGCAGGATGCGCGAGGCTTCGCCGCCTACCTCCGCGCTACTTCAAACACGATCTGAAAGCCTCTAGAAGCACGACGATTAGCGCGCCCCTCTCCGCCCGCCTTCGCAGAGACCCATCCCCGCAGCGGGCGAGAGGCAACCCCATGGCGCTGAGCACACCGGGGTTGCAACCACGTTAGCGTTTCTTCAGGCGGGCGGCACCCGATCGCGCTGCTGCTCCACGCGCTGGAGAACTCGAGCTTTAGCCTTCAATTCGTGCGGTACGCGCAGTCCTCCTCGGCGCGCGCCGCGGCTCACCTCGAGCCCGTGCTCTTCATATCTTCATATAGAGGGAGAGGTTGATTTCGATTCGGCTCCGACGCTGCAGGTGTACACCATGGACGACTCGTCAGTTTCGTACGCGTCTGCGGTGGTGTGGGAAGACCGGGGTGACCAGCAAGCCCTTGAGCCCAGGACACATATTCCGACGGACTGAGCCACTTGTACTTGAGTGCCGAGCTTGTCTGTGCACGCTCTTGCGGCGATAGCGGCGCGGCTCGGGCGAGCAACTCGCTCTGGCGGCGGTGGTCGATCGTCCAAGCTTTAGCCTTTACGCGGGCTCTTCAGGTGGAGGCTGGAGGGGGGGGCGGGTACCGTTTGGGGGGGGTTTTGTCGAGATGAAGGTCTCACGCTCTCACCGTGGTCCACCTCGGTCGCGCGCCGCAAACGACAAACGTGCAAATAACTCAATCACTATCAGAGAGCACACTCTCCGCAGCAGTTGTGCAGTTGTCTGCAATTCTCTGTGTTACCTGTCGAACGGGCGCGCCCTCCCGGCAGCGGCACGGTCGCGCGGAGTGATCGGGCGGGCGAGCGACAACAACGCGGGTGTGGAGGCGGTGAAACGCCCCATTTCTGCGTCTGGCGTGCGGTCGCAGGCTAGAGAGAACGGCCGCCGCTGGAGCGGCCACTGGCGATCGGCGAGGGTACCCTTTGGTGGCGTGGCGTTCAGCGACGCCAACGACGCCAGCGAGAGCAGCGACGAAGTCGTCCTGATGAGGGGCCGGGGCCGCTCCTTGCTCAAGGCGCGGTTGGCGTGCACCAGCTCTACAAAGTCGTCGACGGTGGTGCAGCTCGCGAGGCGCGGCCGCAGGTCCTCGCGCAAGGCGCGCCTCTGGTCCGCCCCCAGCGTCTCGGCGACGATGCGGCGCGTGTTTGCGAAGGTGTTTGCGATGAGGAAGAGCACGTTCCGGTCGGCGTAGGAGCGGATCATCGTCTGCAAAGCCCCGATGGCGGTCGTGTCGAGGAAGGGCACCGCAATCGCGCTGAAGATGATTGCCTTGAACTCGTAGTCGACGGGGCTCTCCTCGATGCGCCGCAGCTCCTCCGCCTCGAGCCACTCCTGCAGCTGGTCGACGTTTGCATAGAAGAGCGGACCCTCGAAGCGAAAGACGAGCACGCCGGGCTCCTCCTCCACGGCCGTCGCGACGAGGCCGCCGCTGGCTCGCTGGCCGCGCATGTTGACCCAGCGGTGCCGGAAGCGGGGCGGCTGGTGTGGCACACCGCTCTGGGGCGGCTCTTGCTGCCGGCCCAGCAGCGCGATGTGTGGGTTGACGACCTGTGCGGGGCAAGGCGCGGGGGGGGGGGGGGGGGGGGGCCCTCGGGGGGGCCCCCCCCTTGCCGTCTGCGGCGGGGCCGGCGGCCTGGAGGACGATGATGAGCAGCGAGAGCACCACGGCGGAGATGATGCCCTTGAAGGCGCCGAGGAAGAGGGTGCTGACGAAGCCGACGATCCACACGAGCACGTCCATCCTGCCGTCGCGACCAAACTCCTTGTGCCGCGCGAACTCGAGCAGGTACCCCGCGTGGGCGAACTCGAGCATGTGGCTCGAGCCGATGAGGATGATGGCGTTGAGCGCGCACATGGGGATGTAGAAGAGGCACGGCGTGAAGAATTGGACGGCCAGCGCGATGAAGATGGATACAAACACATTCGCACCCAGCTGCGATTGCACGCCGCACTGCCTCGCGATACCCATGCGGGTGTTGCCGATCGACGTGGGGACGGCACCGAGGAGCGCGCCGCCGACGTTGCACATCCCGATGGCGATGAGCTCGTTGAAAGGCTTGATCTGGTACCCGTCCTCGAGCCCAAACTTCTTCGCGCCGGCGAAGGAGGTGAGGAAGGCGACGAGCGCGACAAGGCACGCGCCGGGCAGCATGCTGTGGATGAGGCCCCAATCCCCCGCCCCCACCCGCGGCCAGTGCGCGTGCGGCAAGCCGGGCTCGATCCGCCCGACTACCTTGACGCAGAGCGGGTGCTCGACGCACTCGGCCTGGCTCAGGCCGGGCGGGTCCCATGCGGCGCAGAATGCGGCGCCGAGCCCGAGCAGCACAAGCTCCTTGAAGTCGCCGAGTGGCTTCAGCCGCGGGTGCTGCTTGAGCCTCTTCGCACTCAGCAAGTAGCCGGTCGCCACGGCGCTCAGCAGCAGCGTCGGCCACTTCACCGCTAGCAAGCGCTCTGGCTGGTGCAACAACACTTTTTGGATGCTGCCGGCGCTGTCCGGCAGACCGAGCATCGGGCTCACCTGCGAGAGCATCGCGAGGAGGGCGGACGCGGTGATGAATCCGCTAAGCGCCGGCCGCGAGAGGAAGCGGACGAGGCCAGACAGCCGGCACACGCCCATGAGGGTCAGGATGACGCCGACGAGGATCGTGAGGAACGGCGCGATGCGCGAGCGCTCCTCGACTGAGTCTCCGTGCTCCACGAGCACCTCACCTGCGGTCAAGGCTCAGAGTGTCGCACCCTGCCACGCTAGTCGCGGGCAGGCACGTGCTCACCGACGAGGAGACAGATTAGGGCGCCCGTGCCGATGGACGAGTGGATGCACGTGCCAAACACGGCGTAGAGCACCGGCCCGAGCATACAAGAGTAGGGCCCGATGATCAGCTCGACGCCGCAGAGCTTAGCGTGGGCGAGCGACTGGCCAATGAGGATACAGCCGAGCGTGACTCCGCCGCTGATGTCGTGCGCCAGCGCCGAGCGTACTGGATAATCACGAAGCCAGCCAAAGATGGGCGCTATGTCGAGGAGGAAAGCCATCGCACCACCGCGCCGCTGCCGTGGGCCAGCAGGCATCAGCGGTTCCACATGAACGGGTGGCGGAGGCATCAAGCCGACGGCGTCGCCGGCCGGGGAACACAAACATTTTTTAACAAGGCTCCGGCCTGCGTTTTCTGTTTTCTTTCTTTCAGGGCTACCAGCCCGGAAAAGAAAGTTTTCAAAAAATCTTCAAAATCTCTCTCTCTCTCCCTGATTCGGTCACCCACAACACACAGAAAGAAGACTGGGAGTATCTTTGGCTTACGCCAGGGCGCTCGTTGGACGTTGCTCCTCCGTCTCTTTGTACTCGAGTATCTCCCTCCTGCGAGTTTTCAGAAGACTGGCTGGCACCTGTTCCTCTCTGGACAGGGTGGCCCGCCTTGGCCAGCACACAGCACACATGTTTCCGGAAACCAAAAAGGAAACCAGAGGGGTTCCAGCCAGCACTTTATCGTTTCCGGACGGAAATTTCTAGGGAAACCAGAGGGTGTTTGGGCTCCATTCTGGCAACTCTCGAGTTTCCCTGAGTCTGAGAGCTGGTCTGGGGCAAAATCTGAGGCGAAACGAGGAAACCGGCAAAATACCCGGTATTTACGTATTTTGCCGATTTGGCTGATTTTGCTTTTTGGGCCCAAACCAGCTGATTTCCATGGAGTTTCCTCGGGAAACTAGAGAGGAAACGAGAGGGTGCTGTAGAGAAACACGGAAAGGAAACGAGACGGGGTGAGCGAGGAACAACATCTGTGCAGCCTAAGGCCCGCCACAACGACCCCTCTCCCCTGGAATTGATTGCGACTCGCCGCTTTCCTCCCTCCCGCTGTGATTTTGTGTGAGCTCTGTGTCTTGATCTGCTAACAACGAGACACGACGACCACACGACACACGACGAGAGAGAGAGAGAGTCAGTAAGTAAGCCTAAACAACGAACCTACATAATACACTGGTTGCTCAACCTATACCACCACCGGGAGCGGCCAGGACTCATAGACTCGGTCGAGAGACCCCAGATAGATTGGCATCCATGCCTTTCTGAGGGTGGCCCGCCACAAGGAAGGACCCCAGGAATTGCTGCGACTCGCCGCTTTCCTCCCGCTGTGATTCTGTGTGAGCTCTTTGTCTTGATTTGCCAACAACAAACCTAAAACATAATACACACAACAACAACATACCTAACGTAAAATCCCGCCGCACTTGGAGCCGCGGTCCGTTAAAAGCATTGGTCGGGGTACCAGGTCACAGTACGGGTGACACATATGTCCGCCTCGATAACTGGCGAAACTCGCTCACCAACTCGCTCACCCCTACACACGCACTCCTGTGTGGAAGTGTTTATCAGCGCCCACCAGGCCGGTCTCCGAGCAGACGCCACCAGCTCCGTGCGGCTGGGCCACTCGCTGCTGCGCCTCCCCGCCCTCGTAAGCGAATCCGAGGTGAGTTGCCCTAGGGCGGCTGCGAGGGTGGAGGAGGTGGCGGCGACAACGACGGTGGTGGCAGAAGCGATGGTGGGGATGGCGGTGGTGCCATGCAGGCTGTAATGGTGACTCGGGTCGTGGAGACACCAAAGGCATTACAGCTCTCGGTGAGGCGGCACCAACCTGAGACCCAGACGCAGAAAAAATGACACCGCGGCTCCGCCTCGCAACGGTGCTGGCACGAGATTCCGCCGGCCATTCCCAGGAACAGAGGTTCGCCGTAGCAAAAGTCGTGGCTGCCTGCAGATGAATGTGGGTACACGCACGCCTTTAGTGGCGACGGAGAAGGTGGCGGCGGTGGCAATGGCGGAGGAGTCAACGGCGGCGGAGGCGGTGGCGGGGGCGGCAACGGAGGAAGCGATGGCAACGGTGGCGATGAAGATGCAGAGGGTAAGGTTGAGCACTCGCTGCACGAAGAGCATGCCCGGGACTTCCATCGACACTTCTGCGCCCACCCCCTCGTGAGTCTATAGCAGTAGCGTGAGCACTTTGCTTGAGGCTGTGACGGCAGAAGAGGCGGAGATGGCGGAAGTGATGGGGACGCCACGGGCTCACGTGTTACGCATTTCGCGATGTTGACCGTTCGAAGGCCCCTTTCGTCCGATGCCTGAACGATGGGCCAGCGCTTCTCGCACGCCTCGAGCAAGACGCACCAGCCGCCGCTGTAATACATGTAGACGCGGCACTGAGCTTCCTCCTCGCACCTCTGTTGGCATTGCGCTTCCGTTGCAGTACGGCGGGTGTCGAGGATAGGATCAGGGCAATACGTCAGGGAGGCGGTGACCACGATCACGTCGCAGATCTTCTCTGCTTGGGGTGGCAATGGCGGCGGCAGCGGCGGCCCGCGGAAGCAAGAGGTGACCGTCACTTCCTGGCGCGAAAGCCAACGCTGCTCGCAGGTCGAGGTGAGTATGCACCACTTGGTTTCGGCAAAGAACGAGTAGAAACGACACCCTGCCTCCCCTTCACACCAACTCTGGCACCCAACCTTGCCGCCCGCGACAACTCCCGCCGATACCGCTGCGTCATTGCAATATTGCCATCCCTGAGTGTTGGCAGGGACGCTGCAATCTTTGTCGAGCACCTGGGCTAATATCGCCGAGGCCAGCGCCAGGCTGGCCATGCGTTGGCCGGGTGCAGCGGAACGATCGCTCCTCGCAGAAGTCCTTCCGGTCGCGGATCTCGGTTGGACTGTCTAGATATGGACCCTCGGTTGCAGAGGATGGACACCATTGGGGATTGCTCAGATTGATCGAGGCAGATGACCGGGTTGCAGAATGGACGAATGGACGGGTGTCGAGCTAAATAGGCCAGCTCATAATGAGCGAATGAGCTCATAAGGTCGAGCGAGCGACGTGCGTGCAGCGTGGGTGGGGTGTCGTCGTCGTCGATCGAGGTGGCGCTGATTGATACAAGAATTCAAGCAACGCCTTGCGTATTCTATCACTAGCTCCGAGTAGAGGAGGGGGCGTTCTGCAGCAGTTAAGGGGAAACCTGGTACACGGAACCAACCCTCGGAGAGTATTCTTTAGCTCCTATTCTATTAGCTCCGAGAGAAGAAGGGGCGCTCCGCTGCTAGCTAGGGGAAACCCAAAGCACTGCACTCCAAGTGCTCCAAGTGCACCGTTTCTCCACCGACACAGCTCAGGAGACACAGGTCCTCCGGCGATAGAAGAAAGTAGAAAGAAAGAAGATACCGTTGCTAGGCCCGTCATCGTTGGCCTTCTCTCTTCTGCGTTCTGGAAAGTCTTCTCTCTCACAAAAGATGGGGGCAATCATGGGTGCTGCCACAGATGTATCCAACCTAATATCCAACATCCATGTCAGCTGTGTCACACGTGTACGTGTGCGGTGTGGAGAGTATAATGGCATTTATGTGTCCTACTTCATGTTCATACAGACGATAGACCGGACGCCGGGACGCCCCGCTGAGACACACTGTGTGCGTGGAGACGAAAAAAAGATTTCTTATTTGGCGGTATTGACACCTGTAATTGGACCACTTGCACCTATAGGTGGCACCTTTGGTTTTAAGAGGATTAAGCTCGTTTTTCTTAAAAGTATATCGCGGAAACGCACCATCTTGCGCGCGTCATCGCAACGTAGATAGGAGACGGCGCTATCGTATGTTCGCCCTCCTCGCATCGTGTAGTAAGAGCTCCTCGGAGAAATAAATAAATCAAGTGGGAAGTGGTGATTTGTGCTGGTGCTTGTCATGGCTGACGCCACCCCGGGCGGTGATTCCTCCGGCGGGGCAGCCGAGCCACCGCGCGCTTCAGCTCCTGCGGCAAGCAGCCCAGGAAGCGCGAGCCCTCGCACAGCGCCACCTTGCCCCAGCGGGCGCGCACCGCCGTGTGCGTGAGCACCAGCTGCTCCTTGGCTCGGGTCATCGCGACGTACAGCAGCCGGCGCTCCTGCTCCACCTCCTCCCCGTCGTCGGTGCAATAGTAATGCGGCAGCAGCCCCTCCTCGACACCTGTCACGAAGACGTGCTCGAACTCGAGGCCCTTGGCGGCGTGGATCGTCGAGAGCTGCACTGCGCCGCGCGCCGACGCGCTCTTGCGCTGCCCCTGCTCGTCGAGCGCGTCGACGTCCGACACCAAGCTGATCTGGTCGAGGAAAGCGTCGAGCTCGTACACCTCGCGCTCTCTCGCCAGGCTGGCCAGCTCGCCGAGGTTGCGCCACCGACCCGCCTCGTCGTCGCCGCCCTTGTCCAGCATCGCCGCGTAACCACTCTCGCGCAGCAGCAGCTGCAGCATCGCCGCCAACGAGCCGCTGCCGCCGGCCGCGCCGCCGCCGCCGGCCGCGCCGCCGCCGCCGGCCGCGCCGCCGCCGCCGGCCGCGCCGCCGCCCCCGTCCTCGTCGCGCGCCTCCTCGCTGAGCCGCGCCCCACCGCCGCCCCGCTCCTCGGCCAGCGCCTCGGCCTCCGCCGCCATCGCCTCCAGCGCGACTTCCGCCTCCGCCATCGAGTAGTCGTCCGCGAGCCCGGCGCGCCCCTCGTCGTCACGCCCCGATGGGTCGCGCAGCCGCCTGCGGATCTCGCTGCTCACCATCTTGAGACGCACCACCTCCTCCCCCTCCCGGCCGTCGCCCTCGAGCGCCGTCGCGCCGCCCCGCGCGCTGAGCGCCTCCTCCTCCTCGTGCGCCGCGCTCGCCTGATCGACGAGCGCGCGAAAGCGCGTAATCAGCTCGTAGAAGCCGCGGACGGCGTTCACGACATTGGCCCTCAACTTGGGCAAGCGATCCTCGATGAGCGCCGCGTCGGCGTCGCACAGCGGCGCAGCAGAGGTAGCGTACAGCTCGACCGCGCGCCACAGGCTCACGCCGCACGCCTCGCTCGCCGCGTACAGCGCCTCCACGCTCGTCGCGCCGATCTTACGCGGCGGCACGTTGAGGACGCGCTCAAGCGCGATCGTGTCGTTGTTGCGCAGCAGCTGCAGGTAGGCCAGCGCGTCACGGATCTCCTTGCGCGCATAAAAGGAGCGCTGCGCCGCTAGCACGTACGGCACGCCCTCGCGCACCAGCCGCCGCTCGAACGCCATCGACTGAGCGTTCGTGCGGTACAGGATCGCAATCGACGGCGGCGTCGGCGCGCGAGTGTGGGCGCGTGTGTGACTGCAGTGCGCGGCGAGCGCGGCGTCTCGAATCCGCAGGATCTCGTCCACCACGTACTCGGCCTCGTGCTCCCCGTCCTCGAGCTGCACGAGCTGGACGCACTCGGCCGCAGACGGCGCGTCGACCCACTGCTCGTCGGGAAGCTCGAGGAGAGCGTCCTCGGCTGTGGCCTCGGGCGTGACGAGCCGAAGCTGCGCGCTCGGGTCGGCGGCATAGGCGGGCGAGAGGAGGCGCATGGCCATGTCGAGGATGCCCTGGCGCGAGCGGTAGTTGAGCTCCAGATTGAGCTGCCGCCCACCGCCGGAGCGCGGCAGCGGCGGGAGCGGGATGGCTTGGACGGCCGTCTGCAGCGCCTGCACCGACTCGTATGCGCCGTGTGGGAGCGGCACGGCGGGCACAGCGGGCGGGAGCGTCCGGATCGCAAACTCGGAATCAAGGCGCGCCTGGTTGCGGATGTCGGCGCCGCGCCACCCGTAGATGGCTTGGTCCGCGTCGCCAACGACGAAGACGTTCTTGTGGTCGCGCGCGAGGAGGCTGAGCAGCTGGTACTGCACCGAGTTGGTGTCCTGAAACTCGTCGACGAGCAGGTGGCGCCAGTGGCCCGCGTACTTGCGCCGCGTGCGCTCGCTCGTGCGGAGCAGCGTCTCGGTGAGGAGGAGCATGTCGTCAAAGTCGATGATGTTCTCGTCGCGCAGTGTCTGCTGGTAGCCCTCGAAGACCGCCGCGGCGAGCCGTAGCTTCTGCGCGCCGAGGGCACGCAGCTTTGCCGGCGGATGCAGCCGGAAGCGCTGCGCGTCGTACATGTCGTTCTTCGCGGCCGAGATGATTGCCTGCACCGCGCCCGCGCTGAAGTCGTCCTTCTTCTTCTGCTCGGCGGTCTGCTCGGCGGCGCCCGTCGCGCTGCCGCCCTCGAGCCGCATCTTGAGCTTCTTGATCAGCTTGAGGCTCGAGTACTCGTCGTACACCGCGAAGCCACTGCGGTACGGCAGCTCCTCGGGCAGCCTCGTGATGTCCTGACGCAGTATCGCCAAGCAGAGCGAGTGGAAGGTGCCCATCGTGATCGCGTCGGCCTCGCAGGGGCCGATGAGCCTCGTGATGCGCTCGCGCAGCTCGCGCGCCGCCTTGTTGGTGAAGGTGACCGCCAGCACGCGCTGCGGCGGCACGCGCGCCTCCTCCACGAGGTGCGCAATGCGAGCGGTGAGCACCCGCGTCTTCCCCGTGCCCGGGCCGGCGGCGACGCGTAAGGGTCCGTCAGCGCACACGACCGCCGCGAGCTGCTGCTGGTTCATGCCGCGCAGCAGCTGCAGCGACGAGAGCTCGAGCGCATCAAGCGCGAGCGTCGCGGGCGGCGGCGGCGGCGGCGGCGGCGAGGCGGCGGCGACGGCTGCGGCATTTTGGAGCGCTGCGCCTTCTACCTCGGCCGCCTCGCGCGCGGTGCGTGAGGAGAGCATATCGTGCCGCTGGCCGCGCGTCTTGCGCACGTGGCAGCGCACGCACAGCGCCTGCAGGTTGGTGAGACCGTTGGTGCCACCGAGCGCCAGCGGCACGATGTGGTCGATTTGGTGTGTAGGCGGGAGGAGGCAGCCGCAGCCGGCGCACTTGTACTGCTGCCGGTAGGCGACGATCTTTTTTTCGCGTTCGCTCAGCACCCGCGCCGTGATTTCTCCCGCGTATACGTTCGTCTCGTCGGCCGTGAGCGATGGCGGCAGCGCACCAGGCGGTACCGCCCCGGGCTTGGAGCTTAGCGAGCGACGGCGTGGCGTGGCGGCACAGAGCGCAATAGTGCAGCAGCGCGAGACGGCCGGTGATGCGAGCGGCGCGGGCAAGGCAAAGCCGAGCGTCGCTACGAGGACACGCGGGTGGGCGACGGTGCTTAGTGGCGGTCGCATTGCCGGGTGTATCTAGTAGATCAGCGGACGAGCTTGGCTTCACAGAGAGGAAGAAGAATTCTTGAAGAAGAATTCACCGGGATCGACGCTTGTCTTGTGGCCTACCCCACCTGTCCCCCTGATCGTCCTTCCAAAATCCTGCTCGTGCAGGTGGGGACCCTGTCCTCCTCCCCCATCCCTCGTCTGGGTTTGTCTGTTTTCTTTCTTTCTTTTTTGGCCTACCCAGTTAAGGGATATTCTTTTTTGTGGATCTGTGTGCTTTTTTGTGGTTCTGAAAGTTCTGTGTGTCGCTCCTGTGTGGCCGCCACTGCCCATCTTGCGTCCACCCCTAGGTCCACCCATACCGCGCTGTTCACCTGTGATACAGAGAGAGAGAGAGAGAGAGAGAGAGAGAGAGAGAGAGAGAGAGAGAGAGAGAGAGAGAGAGAGAGAGAGAGAGAGAGAGAGAGAGAGAGGAATTGTGGATGGGTGCCTGTTCACGAATCCGACCGTAGATGCCCGGGACGCGGTCGGGCGATCTGAGTCCGGATTCGGGAAATAAGATTACCAAAGGACGCTCACTATGCTAAGAAGCTGTTCAACACCTTAGGTAATTGCGCGGAATCGAAAACTTTCTGCCGCCGTGGGCAACCTTCCTTAGATCCGAACGAGTCAATGGCTGCAGGCTTGACTTTTGCTACGCTTCTCTCGGGTGCCGCTCGCCACTGCTCACCACCATGCCACACACCTCTGCCCCACGCGTAAGGGCCATCGCCGCGACGGTGACCCAGACACGTAAGGACCGCCGCCGCGACGGTGTAGCACCCTCTCCCAAACAGGCACGCACACAAAAAAATAAAACTCTGCAAGAAGGACGTATTGAGCGTGACGTGACGAGCGTGATGGTGCGCCCTTCGGTTTTCGTCGCCGACCCGCAAGAGCCCACTCCAGAGGAAGCCGTCCAGCTGGCAGAGGCGGAGGGCTTGTCCTTGATCACGTCAAACAATGCGAGCGGCTACATGAATGTGAAGACACGAGGGGCGGGCGATAACAGGTTCTATGCCGCCGTGAGCCGGCGGGGCGTGCAAGTGGTGCTTGGCCGGTTCCGATCGGGGGAGGCTGCGGCGCTGTGTTTTGCCCGCTCGAAGGAGGGGCGAGCGGCCGCAGAGAACCTCAAGGGCGGCCGCAACAAGTTCCACTCTACCCGGGGATTGGCTTGGGTGCCTGGGAGCCACACTCGATCGGGCATTCGGATCCTGCCTTCGGCTTCGCCCATCGCGATCCCTCACGAGTGCCCCGTATGCCTCGAGACAATCGACGAGGCTGGCGCCGACCCGGTCGTCAGCGCGTGCAACCACGTCTTTTGCCGAGCTTGCATCGAGTCGGTGCAGAGCGACACCGCGACCTGCCCCCTCTGCCGCGCCACGCTCATCGAGGGGGGGCTGTCGCCAGCTTCCTCGTTGCCGACGGAGGCGGAGGGGCTGCGACTGCACCTCTCGAGCACCAGCGCCACCGGCTACAAGGGCGTGAGCAGGGACGAGGGCCGCTTCCGAGCCATTCGCGAGGTGGACGGCAGGAGGGTCTCCCTCGGCTGCTTCGCCACGGCGGTGGAGGCGGCGGTGGCGTACGCGCGGCCCGTGCAGCAGCAGCGATGCAGCGCTCCTGCGGCCGCCTCCGTGCACCTCCAGCGCCACCCGAGATTTGGCCGGGTTGGTGTACCTGTCGGGTGGTCGATCAAAGAATGGCGTATCCAGCAAGATGCGGTGCTCCGGCGGCCACCCCGCCGCAACCGGGAGGAGGCGCACGTCGGGCCGTCCAAGGTGCTCGTCGTCGGCGGGACTGTCGCGGAGAGCGCACAGTACAACGGCAGGCTGCCGCAGTTCAGCGCCCGCGCACAGGCACGGCTCGGGCTCGAGGACACGGGCCGCGTGCGCGGCGATGACCAGTGAGCCGCCCACTCGCTGCTCGCGCTGCGCGGCGGTGACCAGTGAGCCGGGTCTGAGTTTGGCCTCCGGTGAGTGAAGGCCGGTGTAGCGTCTGGGCCGCGCTAATACAAAACAATAACGCAAGCTCAGTGTCCCCACGTATAAGCTCACACGCCGCCTCCGACGAGGCACGCGCCCGAACGCGCACCCCTGCACGCGGCCGGCGCGCCAACACGCCTCCGACGAGTCACGCACCCACAAGCGCACATCTGTACGAATCGCACGCCAACGCGCGCCAGGCTCGAGCGGGAGAAAAATCTCGGCTCTTCTCCGCCCTCTCTCTCAGCTCCGCTCGGCTCCTCTCGGCTCCTCTCGGCTCCCTCTCGGCTCCCTCTCGGCTCCCTCTCAGCTCCGCTCGGCTCCTCTCGGCTCCCTCTCGGCTCCCTCTCGGCTCCCTCTCGGCTCCTCTCGGCCGGTCTCAGCAGATCTGTCGCCCTGACCGCCCATCCCCGGTCTCCGGGAGGCTGGGTCTGTCAGCAGGCGGGGGGGTATGGTCTCGAGGTGGGTTGCGTGAGCCTACCATACCAACGCCGCAAAAAGTCCGAACCCAGGCTGCGCAAAAAAAATTCCCGCGGGCCCCGCGAGGGCGGCGAGGCACTTAGTAGCTGTGTGTGTGTGTGTGTGTGTGTGTGTGTGTGTGTGTGTGTGTGTGTGTGTGTGTGTGTGTGTGTGTGTGTGTGTGTGTGTGTGTGTGTGTGTGTGTGTGTGTGTGTGTGTGTGTGTGTGTGTCGTGTACTCACTACGCTTCCGCCACTAGCGTCTTCGCCGTCACAACTGCCACCTTCACCGCCTCCGATACATTTAATAGCCCCACCTCCACCTTCGCTGCCACCGCCATCGTCCCCCTCCCCCCCTCCGTTGAATCCGCCGCAGCCGCCGCCCTCGCCGCTGCGAAACATCCTGTGGATGATCGCAGACGATCTCCGGCCGACGCTTGGCACGTACGGATCGACCGAGATCCACTCGCCCCACATCGACGCGCTCGCGGCGGACAGCGTCGTGTTTGAGCGCGCGTACTGTCAGGTCCCAACCTGCGGAGCCTCTCGCGCGAGCATGCTGACTGGGCTCTACCCGACCCCGGAGCGCTTCTTGCAATATGACTCGTTCGCGTCGCTTGAAGGCCCCCCTGGCATCCCAGATCTGCCGGCGACGCTTCAGGCCGCCGGCTACACGACCATCTCGAACGGCAAAATATACCACAACCGCGACGACAATGTGGCGTCGTTCAACCAAATCTGTGGGCACGGTGGGACGGGCGGGATCACAGAGAGCGAGCACTTTCCTGGCGTTTGCCGGTGGCAGGATGGGATGTGCTGCCTGGAATCGCTCACGGAGCCGCCTCCTCAGGCCCCTGCGGTCCTTCGTTCACACAACAGTGGAAGGCCTGACCACCCGTACGATGGGCTACCTGCGGAGGTAGAGGAAGAGGACGGGGAGGATTGGGACGACTACACACGATCGCGGTGGGGGTGCTTTGGGTGTAATAAGCCGGCGTTCCGAATCATCGAGACCAACGGCGACGACTTCAGAACGGCTGGGCTGCCCGATGGCAAGATGACTTTGAAAGTGATCAAAGATCTGAGGCTAGCACATGCCACCAAGACGCCCTTCTTCATCACCGTGGGCTTCTTCCGACCGCACCTGCCCTTTGACGCGCCGCGGAGAGACTGGGACCTCTACAACCGCAGTCAGCTCCCGCTGGCGGAGTTTGACCAGCTGCCGGACGGTGCCCCGCCTCGCTCGCTCAACTTCTATGAGCTTCCCGTCTACAAAGACATTCCGCCGTATAGTATCGGGAACCATCTGCCCGAAGACCTGACGCGCACGCTGATCCACGGGTACTATGCGAGCATCACCTATGTGGACCGGCTCGTTGGCTACATCATGGATGAGGTCAAGTCGCTCGGCATGTACGACGACACGATCATCATGCTTGCCAGCGACCACGGCTACCAGCTCAATGATCACGGCACGTGGTGCAAGCACTCGCTGTACGAGAAGGCGCTGCGCGTGCCGCTAATGATCAAGGCGCCCGGCTTCCGCCCCTCGCGCGTGCAAGCGATGGTGGAGAACCTCGACATCTACCCCACGCTGCTCGACCTCATCGAGGTGCAGCCGCCGGCGCACCTGCAGGGGGAGAGCCTGGTCCCGCTCCTCCGCGACGCGCGCGCGCAACACAAGGACGCGGTCTTCGCTCGCTACCTCGACGGCGACACGGTCCGCTTCCCGGAGTACGCATACAGTGAGTACTGCTCGAGGACCTGCACGCAGATCCCGGCCTGCAGAGCGTCTTGCGCAACCATCCACCCAACGGACCGCATGCTCTACAACCACACGCTCGACCCCTTCGAGACCGCCAGCCTCCATGCCGATGGGAAGCACGGCGCCGTGGCCAACGTGATGGGCCGGGTCCTTCAGCAACACCGGCGGGACCGCGAGCGAGTAGCAGAGGTTTAGACTATAGAGGTTTAGAGTGGTACAGGTATAGAGTAGTGAGTACTTTTGGACGCTATCGAAAGCAACCGTCGGCTTTCGGCGAATACTTGAGCACTGGATAGGGTCGATTCCGCACGGTACGGGACCCCTCGTGATCTCGCCGAGGCATGTGCTCGAGGACACCCCTCCCCTCGATTTACGACCTCTTTCGCGAGGGAAGGCCGGGGAATACGATATTCTCGAGGGTCGCGAGGTGGCGGGTTGAGTTTCGACTTGACGGCTATGTGAATCCGCGCGGAGTATAGCGAGTACCCTTCTCTCCGACGCGAGGTAGGTGCGTCTCCTCGCCAAAGAGTACAAAAAGATTGTTATCAAACAAAGTGTGCCGCAGGCGCCGCGGCTTGGCCGAGGGGGTCGCGACTCGGGCCGTAGCGCGTAGGCGTAGCCCTAGCCGGGCACCTCGCCTTGCCGGGGGCACGGGGGGGGCACGGCGCGAGCCCCCTCTGCCACCGCCGCCATATGATACGCCGCTCGACACGGGCCGAGGGGGTGACACGCTGAGTGACCCAGACGCTGAGACGGGCGGGGCAGTCCCGGGCTGTCGCGGCACGCGGGCTCGGCGCTCGGGGGGGCGGGGGGCGCGCGCGCGCGCGCGGGCGGGAATATGTGAGATTGTGACACGGGGGTTCGTCATGGCGTCACAAATCGAATCTGCCTAGAAAACTAGAATGAGAAATCTGCTCACCCCAATGGGCCACTCCCCACAAATGCGAAATGGGAGCTCCCCACAAAAACTCGTCTCAATACTCAAATCTCAATGACAATGTGAACTCTCAAAGTCTCATTCTTAATTTTGTCTACACGTTTCTCTTGACTGTACTGGGCCACTTAGTGCGTGGGCCGCGCCGCTGGCTGCTGGCTGCCGCATGCCGTGCGTCCCGAGACGCACGGAGGAAGGGGCCCCCAACCCCTCCTCGACTAGTTTGCAAGGGCGCGCGAGCTCACCCCTCCCAACGCCGAGGCTAGCAATCGACGAGAAACGAATGAGGTTGTGGCCGCGGCGCGCCAGGTCTCAGGTCATCATGTGGGAGGAGAGGACGGCCCAGATGGCGCCTGGTCATGCCAGTCGTGGGCGTCGGGGCGTCGGATCGTGTGGGTACGGGGCAATGGGTCGGCGAGGCGGCGCGCCCATCGCAAGGGCGACGAGGAAGTGGTAGTTCTTTGGCACAAGGAGCAGGTTGACAAAGTCCGCCGTCAGCCAAAAGACCGCCTGCGCTCACCTCGGCGCGGTGAGAGGACGGCATGTCTGGTAGAGGATCGCTTGCTGGCCAGGGAAGGGGCTGGCGAGGGGGTCGGGAGTCGCGCCGTGCGCTTGTAGCGGTCGGTAAACGGCTCGGAGATCGGGCCGACGCCGCGCGTGGCCAGCTCCGGCACCGGCGTCTTCTTGAGCATGACTTCCCACGCAGCGACGAAGACCTGAGTCGCGGGGCGGCGGCACACGGTGATGTGGCACTGGCGTGGCGGGGCGGCGGCGGGGCGGCGGACTTTGCGGTGGTCGGAGGGTGCTCCGGGGGAGGGGGGCGAGCCGGACCAGGGTGAGGAGCGGCGTCATCGTGAGCTGGTTGAGCACCGCCTTGCCCATGGAGTCGAGTAGCCGGTACGGGCGCGACAGGGTGAGGGAGGAGAGGAGCTTGAGCCAAGGCGCGACGCAGAACGCGACCACCGCGCCCCAGCCGGCGAAGAAGAGGAGCCTGCGGGCGGCGGGAGGAGGCGCGGTGAAGCGCGACGCCGTGCCGTATCCGCCGGGAAAACCTCCCCTCCCTTCCCCGCCCTGTCGTGCTCCCTCCGTCCTCACCTCATCGGGTCGGCCGACTGTTGCTTGATGATGCAAGTGGCCACCAGCTCACCGGCAGCGGCGAAGGCTGCGCCCTCGAGCAAGCCGTACACCCACGGCTTCGCCTCGCGCCGCGAGCGATACCACTGCAGCACGCCGCCCGCCTTGGCCTTCTTCTTGTTCTTGGCCGTGCTGTCCTCGGCGTCGAAGAGCGCCTTGCCGCGCTCGGCCGGCTTGGTTGGCGTCGGCTCCGGAGGCGGCGCCCTACCGGATGAAAAAACACTTTCCATCAGACCTCTCGAGCTGCGCGACCACTCAACAGTGGCCCCCATGCTAGAGCACGCTCCACTTCGATGCCGGGCTCGATCCCCAGTTGTCGCCGTCGCCGAGGCGAGCCGGCGGCGCCGCCTTGCGCGGGGTTCGCCGCATCGCGAGCGGCTTGTCGGACGCGGGCGAGCGCGAGCGTGCGGGACTCTTGGACGCGCGCGGCATTAGCAGACAAAGACGGTGGGGAAAGACGGTGGGGGCCAGTAGAGCGAGCCAGTAGAGCCCGCAGTCGAAACGAAAAGAAAAAGGCGTTGATGAGACAAAAACACAACCGGACCCAGAAGAGAATGACGCGACAGAGGAGGAAGTGACAAGGGAGAGAACGACGAGAGTGGGACGGCCGCGAGGTGGCATGAAGGTTGCAGCGAGAAGCGGCGAGAGACTGCGAAAAGAGATAGGAAGAGGCAGACTCCCTAGGGTGGGCGACGGCTAGCGCATCACACCCCTCTCCTTAAAATCCCTGTGTGGTGGCGGCGTGCCGTCCTCCCATGCCCCCTTGTTTTGTCTGTTTTCTTTCTTTCTTTCTTTAACCCCGGACCCAAGACGCACAAGCACAAGACAGCCGAGAAGGGAGAGACAGCAACGACAGTCAGAAGCCAGCGCTGGGTACAGGTAGGCATGCTGGCGTAGTATTTTCTTTCTTTTACAAGCGCGCACGCCCGCGCGACGACCCACGGCCCATCGCCTCTGCTGCCTCCTCAAACGGCATATTTCCGTGGTCCTCCTCGTTTACACCGCCACACCGCGTGGGGCGCAGGGCGCCGGGCGCTGCGCGACCGGCGCCCAAGCCGCACTAGCCGGTCGCACCCGCGCGCTCCCCTCCGGCGGCCGCGGCGTGCGTGCTGTAGGTACGAGATGCGGCTCGACGCGGGCAAGAGGGCGTCTCAACCCACCATCAACTCGGGCCGCGCGACGCTGGGGATGCGAACCTTTGAGACGAGCACCTCGTCGATAATTCCGTAGTCCTTGGCCTCCTCTGGCGTCATGAAGAAGTCGCGGTCGCAGTCGTCCTCCACCTGCGCGTGCGGAGCACGGGAGAGGGGCGGCGCTGGGGCGGAAGGGGCGAGGGGGAGGGGCAAGCGGAGAAGAGGGGGGAGGGGGGGTGTGTGGGGGGGTCGGGAGGGGCGGGGGGGGCGCCTTGTCGACGGGCTGGCCTGTGTAGTCGGCAATGTACTCGCAGAGCAGCGCGCGGATGAAGAGAATCTCCTTGGCCTGGATCTCAATGTCGGCTGCCTGGCCCTGCGCGCCTCCGAGCGGCTGGTGGATCATGATGCGCGAGTTGGGCAGCGAGCGCCGCTTGCCCTTCTGGCCGGCGCCGAGGAGGAACGCGCCCATCGACGCCGCCGTGCCGAAGCACACCGTGTTGATGTCGCACGGCACGTACTGCATCGTGTCGAAGATGGCCATGCCAGCCGAGACGGAGCCTGCGGCCGCAGGAAAGAGCGGTCGACGCGGCGAGGGGTCGGCGGGCGAGGTGGAGTTTGCGACAGCAGGCGAGGCTGTGTCCCGCGCAGCCCTCCCCCGCGCAGAGAGTAGCCCTGAGCTCGGCCGCATGCACCGGCCATCCTCCGGGGCGGCGTGGGTGTGCGGCGGTGCGGGCGCCTCCGGGCGAGTTGATGTAGAGGGTGATGTCCTTCTCGGCGGCCTCGTTGGCCAGGTAGAGCAGCTGCGCGACAAGCAGGTTGGCCACCTCGTCGTCCACGCCCTGCCCGAGCAGCAGGATGCGGTCCTTGAGCAGCCGGGACATGACGTCCATCTTGTCGTCACCCGAGCCAACCATCGGCAGCGGCAGGAAGCCGGGCCGCGGACCAGGCGTGCCTGGCGGGTCCTTGCGCCGCGGGTCAATCTCGGGCTTCTTGGGCTCGTCCATCGAAGGCAGCAGGACACCACGCGGTGAGACCTGCGGCAGCAGCCGGAGGCGCGTGGTTGATTGGGCGGCAGTGACGGGCAAGGCAGCGGCGTGTCCGCGGCGCTCACCGAGTAGTAGTCGCGCATACTGGCGGGACCGGCGCGCGAAGCGGCATGCCGCGGCGGCAGCGGCGGCCCCAGCAGAGCTGCGCAGCAGGCGCCGAGCGAAAGCATCAGGCGACCTCCCCTTTCTCGTGGATTTCCGCTTGTCGCGCCCAAGGGAGCGCTCGGTGATCTTCGCCGCCTGCGACGAGCCAGCATGGCTCGTCGCTCGACGGGAGCCTGCCCAGTATGCTCTCGGCATTCTGTACAGCCTCGCCAAGCTCTCTGGGAAGGTCTACAGGGCCAGGGCGGGCCGCCTCGGGCGCGATGGCGCGCTGAATGAATGAATGAATAGAACCATGACTACGAGCTCTAGATCGGGTCGCCGGCAGCGGGCTTGCGCGGCGCGCTGCTCGACGGCAGGCTGCTCCCCACCCTTTCAACAGTGTCTTTTGCCTCGCTTCTCTCGCTGCAACCGCCTCCGGGGGCCGGCGCCGGCCGCCTCGCTTCGCCAGTGCTGTCTCCTACGCCTACGACACGCGCATCGTCTCTCCGCCCGCGTCGCCTGCGGCGGGCCCGCGTGGCGCGCTGCTCGTCGGGAGCGTGCTCAGCAGGCTGTGCAGCGCAGCCTGACTCACTCAGAGCGCCGCTGATGCGGCGTGGGCCGCCGGCGGCGCTGGCCGCTGCTGCCGCGCACGCTGCGCTGTGGGCGTCACCATCGTGTCCTCGCCGCGTCGCCGACGCCACTTGGCGCTCGCCGCTGCCCTGCCCTTCCCTGCCATCGCGCAAACAAGCACACACACACACACACACACACACACACACACACACACACTCACACATTATTAATCATCGGGTATTAATTATTAATTATTAATCATCGGGCGGCGGAGCGGCGCGGCGTAGGCGGGCGGCGCGAGGCGGCGGCGCGGCGAGGCAGCGGGCGGCGGGCGGCGCGGCCGCGGGTGGGGTAATTACTTATTTGTTAATTAATTAATAATTAATATTCATCGGGCGGCGGCGCGGCGCGGCGGGCGGGCGACGCGGAGCGGGGCGGCGAGACCATCTGTACTGAACGGGCCAACTAGCTGGTCTTTGAGTCAGCGCAATGGTCGCGCCGCCCTCGACTCGAGGGGCTGCCTTCCACCCGTAGCTGCTCAGGCCGGGGGAGGGGTAGAGGCCTCCTGTTCCTCGCGGAACGTGCGGGGGCCGACCCCTTGCCCCGGCCTTCGATGCAGGGAGGTGGTCGTGCCATCGGCGCTTCGTACACAAACCTCCCCGCCGCAACCGTCGCCGGCGCGCGACACGTTCTCGTCAGCAGGACTGTCCTCGTCGAGTGTGTGTCGCCAAGGCGAGACACACTCAGGGACGGTGCCGAAGGGACGCGGCTCGAAGGGCGTGGCTCCGCAGCGCGGCTGGGCACTCGTCGCAGAGGCCTCGCCTTCGAAAAGTCGGGCATGGCTCTACCCGCAACTTTCTCGCTAACACGCGCGCATCGCCGAGCCTGCGGCGGGCGCGCTGCGGCCGCACGTCTAACTCCGTCATAGTGCCATGGCGTGCGGCCTAGAATTAGCACACGCGCTTCTGCTCGCAAACACTCACCCAATGAATTGTCATCACCCGTGAGTGCGAGGTAGGGCTAGCATAAGGCAGCTAGCCTGTGAGGAGAGCGTCCATAGACACCTCACTAGACCCCACACACGGTCTCGTCCGTGCCTCGCCGGGCGGCGAGATTGCTAGAGGTGGAGCAAGCCTGCTCTAGTCTCACACGTTACTTCCTGTCGCCTTGTTGTGTTGTTGTGCCCTTGTTTGTACTCTTGGCACCGCGTGTGTGCTTAGGGGGGCGACAGGGAGGACGTGGCCCTGAGTTATGTGTACGCCAACTCAGGGTGTCTGTGTGTGGCAGCCAGCTGGCTGTGTGTCTTGTGAGCCTGTTTGTGTCTGTGTGTCGCTCATGCGTGTCGTCATCATCCTGTCCAGCGTCCACCCATACCGCGTTGGTGTCCAGTCCGAGCCTGGCTGTTCTTCACCTTCCTACCTACCTACCTGCTGTGATCTGTAAGGGTCCGCCCGCACAGGCGCATTTTGTATACCGAGGCGGTGCCCGGTGCCGAACCTGTCGGACCTGAGACAGCATTGTAGATCCCTGGGCGAGGGTGGTGGTTTGGGCGGTCCGTCGGCGCCAAACCACATTGGTACGAGGGAAGGAGCAGGACTTTGCGGAGATCTAGGAGCAGCAGGGGCCCGAGGGACTGTAGAACCGAGACGGCTAGTGCGTAGTCCCCCGCATCACGGGGAGTCCCCCGGCTTAGGGTGCCGACCACAAAGGTCTCCGCAAAGGTCAAAGATCGAAAACAAAGATCGGATGGGCGGGGACTTGCTCCCTTTTACCCATCTCCTAGCAGGCCACGTTAGTTCTAGTGCACGTGCATGTACATGTACATGTGCATGCATAACGAGGGGGGGGGGTCGTTCCGTTAAGCCGGCGCGCGGGAGAGGCACCGGGAGTCCGGGACGGTTATTTTATTTTTCGATTTCTATACTCTAGCGCCCAGCCCTCAAATCAAAACATTGCTATACACCCAGCGTGGACTCACACGTGTGTCTCACGAATTCATCCCACGAATACTCGCGAGGGAGAAGCCAGCAGGCAAGCTGTGAGCCGACCCGCGCCACACCGATCGACACCGAGCACAGCACGGCGCAGCGGCGGGCCGGCGGCCTGTCCCGGTCGAGAGAGGGCAGGGGCAGGGGATGCACCTGTTGCGCTTTGTGCACCCTCCCTGCCGCTCAATCGCGCAACATGCGCGCCCGGCCGCTTCAGGCGGCGGCGGCGGCGCGCAGGCCGGGAGGGGTGCCGCTCTGCGGCGTCGGCTCTGCCGCGGCCGTCGCGCTCGTGCCGGCCGCCGGACCAAGGCACTGCGGGAGGGAGAGACTGCCAGTGAAGCTCGACAGCGCCCGCCGCGCGAGCGGGCCCCACACGGTCGGGGGCTCCACCTCCTCCACGTCGGACTCGGCGAGCGCCTCATCATACATGGTGGACATTGTGAAGTCCAGCTCGTCAACCGAATCGGTGGCGCTCATGCTCCGCTGCTTGGCGGACCCAAGGATCGCACTCGTGCGCTCCGACGTGTCGTCGTCCGCTGCGAGGTCGCAGGCGTCGCTACCGTTGAGGTCGCAGGCGTCGCTGCCGTTGCTTGGGCTGGAGGCGTCGGCGGGCATGCACATCGCAGACTCGATTGGAGCCAGCTTCTGCGGGACCTCGTCGGCCACTGCCTTCCTCTCGCCGGTGAGCTGGGTGCGGAGCGAGACGCCATCGCCAGAGGTGGTCTGTGCCCGCAGCGATACATCCGACTGCAGGCTCATCCGGCTCGTCCTGTAGCGGTAGAGCACCTCGTCGCCGGTCCGCTGCCGCTGGAGCATCACCTGGGCGTGCGCCTCCTCGTTCCAGCTCTGACCAAATGGATCCGGAGGAGCCGCGGGCCGCCGCCGCAGCTTGTTCCGCAGACGCGTGAGCAGCATCGTCAGCGGGCCATGAGAGGAAGGAGCTTGCCTTCGCCGCCGCGCCGCCTTCGCGTCAAATTTCTTTTTCTGACAATCATCCAAAACACACGAAAGAAGAAGAGAAACACATCGGTTTTAGAGGAAAGAAGGGGAAGAGGACATGTGTACATGTACATGTTGTTGTAGGTCAAAAGGCAGGAAGGTGAAGAACAGTGCCCCGTTTGTGCCGCGTCCCGTGCCGCCGAGTTCATTTTAATACTAGGTCAGCCGGGCTCGGACAGGCGCGCCCGAAGAAAACGAGAAAAAAGCCCGCTGTGCACCGTCGCGTACCACGTTTGCTCATGGCGGATAAGGCGCGCGAGAAGCTGATCGCCAAGGTGGTCAAGGAAGGGGGTAAGAAGGGCGTTGAGATTGATGGCGCTGCCGACATGGCGCGCTGCCCCGGCAGCCCTCGCCACGCCGCAGCCGTTGAACCTGCGTAACCCACGCTCCCCTCCCAAAGCGCTCGTCCTGATGTGTCAGCCACGTCGCTCCGCGTGCAGGGCGGCCTCGACTTCTTTTGCACCACGCTGGAGTTCCCCGACGGCAACGTCGAGCTGCTCAGAATGTCGATGGACGCCATGAACGCCGAGCCCGATCCCGATGCTGAGGATCGCAAGGGCTGCAGCGGCCGCGTCGGCAAGATGATCTTCTCGGCAGGCACGGAGCAGCTCGCCCTGGTGGCGTACGTGCCCGAGGCGCTCGCGGAGAAGGTCTCGATCGGCGAGTGGTTCCTGCACGTGTGCGCGAAGGTGGGGGCCGAGATTGCCACCGAGCTGCTGCCTGCCGAGTCGCCCGACAAGGGCATGATCGCGAGCGCCATTGTCAAAAAAGACGCGGACGCGAACAAGTTCCCGCTCAAGGACAAGGACACGGCGATGGCCGCCGCCTTCGCCTTCCTCCGCTCAAAGGGCGCCTTCCCGGAGGACAAGGACGACAGCGAGGACGAGATGGTCTTTGGTGACGACTGCAACCTGGACGACTACGAGTAGGGCTCCTCCCCGAGATGTGTAGACGCCTAGCTGGACGCTGTCGAGGGTCTCCGCTCCTGCGGAGTGCGCATGCCTGCAGAGTACCACGTGCTGTGGGTATCGGGTGTCCCCGGGTTTTCGTTGTGCCGATAATGTGACGTGGTGTGCGGCCCTGCGGCGGCCGCGCACACCCACACGCGGCGCGCACGACGCTCCTCTTCCCCGTTCCCGCAGCCGAAGTGCATATGCCTGCTCACGTACAAGCGACCTTTTTGCTACATCACGCAAATAGAGACGGGGAACGCGCGGGGGCGCCCTTGGCCCTGCCCGCTGCCGCCCCGCCTGCCGCCGGTGGCGGTGCCTGCCGGGCGCGGGCGCGGCCTCGCCGCTCGCGCCTGCCGCGTGCCGGCTGCGCGCTGGCACAGAGTAATGGAAATCTCTGCGCAAGACGAGTAGATCGTTGGGGTAGAGATAGTAGATTAAGACTGGAGATCCTAGCGGATCTCTCACACGGACACGCCCAAGTCTCGCCAGTAGATCCGTCCTGTCCGGTTCCCCATTCAAGACTAAAGATCGAAGATTGAGATTGTGGATTGCAGATCGCTCTGAGCAGCAACAGGGCCAAAATGTGGAGATAGGAGATGGAGAATGCAGATTGTAGATCCTAGCGCCCAGCCATCCGCCCCAGATGTGAGATCGAAGATTGAAAATGGAGGTCGTAGATTGCTGCCGGCGGCGACAGTGGCCAAGTAGAAGATTGGAGATTGGAGATGAGAGATGGTCAGTGTGAATGAATCCAAATTGCATCTCCTTGAAGGTTTGAGCCCCCCTCCTCCCCCGGGCCCCCGAATCGAGATTGGAGATTGGAGATTGGAGATTGAGATCGGAGATCTGATCCGGCCTAAGATGACGACGTTGGAGATTGGAGATTGAAGATGGAGATCGGAGATCTGACTGGATCCCCGGCCTAAGATGACGACGCTGTGGATTAGAGAATATTGGAGATGGGGAGATCGGAGCCCACCCACCCCCTAGAGCCTAGTGGTGTTGATAGATGTTTTATAGATTTTTGTTTTTTCCTGTGGTCTGTGCGCGGACGCCCCGGGGAGCCTGCGGCGCCATTTTAATCTGCGCTCCTCTTTATGGCCTGCGGCGCCTGGCTTGAGCTT